GAAAAATCTATAACCACACACAAAAAAACTGCAAAACATGGAAACTAATTCTGACAGTGGGCCAGGCATAGTGGCTCACGCCTGTAATCTCAACACTCAGGAGGCCACGGCAGGATTGCTTGAGCCCAAGAGTTCAAGACCAGCCTGGGCAACAAGGCAAGACCCCGCCTCTACAAAAAATTACAAATTAAAAAAAGTAGTCAGGTGAGGTGGCATATGCCTGCAGTCTCAGCTATTTGGGAGGCTGAGATGGAAGGATCCCTTGAGCCCAGGGGTTTGGAGTTATAGTAATCTATGATCATACCACTATACTCTAGCCTAGGTGACAGGGCAAGATTCTGTCTCAAAACAAAAAACTATGGCAATCTTGTGGCTTCTTTAGCCCTGATTTCTACCAGGCAGTGTCTTCATAAAAAATATGCAATATCCTTTTCCTGAGTTGTAATAGCCAGCTGGGAGCCCGCCTCCCGTAACTAGGCTGTGGATTATTATTATGCCTGACTTTTGTGCCTCCCCATCCCAGATCCTTATAGCGTCTTCCTGCCATTCTCCCTACAAGCTTGACTTCCCCTGGCCCCCAAAAAACTGTTATCAACAAAACTGGAATTCATTATTTTAACTCTTCCGATTGATAAAAACATTAAAATTCAGCCGGGTACAGTGGCTCACACCTGTAATCCCAGCACTTTGGGAGGCAGAGGCGGGTGGATTACCTGAGGTCAGGAGTTCGAGACCAGTCTGACCAACATGGTGAAACCCCGTCTCAAAAAAAAACAAAAAACATTAAAATTAATATGAAAACAATATGAGTGATAATCCCTGAAACGCCCTGCTGTTTTTCAATCATCCGAAGACAGTTCCAAATATTCTCCCCTTCTACCATATTTAAGGCAGCACTATGTCCCAAGCAATGAAAGTGGTTAAAATAGTTTTTGCTACAGAATCTTCTTTGAGGGCTCTGCAATATCTAAATGTATTTCTCTTCTTAAATATATACCCCTTTCATTAGATTAGTCAGTCATCTTTTTTCTGCAGAAACCAGACTGGCTCGTTTCATTATCTGAGAGTCAACCCACCCTTTCAAGAACTCATCAGCTACCACCCACTGACTATGCTAACAACCCTTGAAAAGAACACCACATCATCAAAGTCACATGGAAAGCAGGAGAAATAAAATTCAGTCACATGCAAAAGTATCCACAATTAGGCCGGCACAGCAACATCAGCTGGGGGTAGATCACCTGTTCATCCACCCATTCACCAAACAGCTTTTAGGTGCCTAGTATGTGCCGGGCTGAAAAAAGGTATTACAAAATTACAAAACGCTGCAGAGGGTTTCCAGTGAGTCTCACCTTTTCATAGAGGGTTCCATTCACATCTGCACCATAGATCGGAGGATTGAATGTAAGATTTTTCCAGTATTTCCGCTCAAGCTCTTCAAACTCACTATAGCGCGGGGTACAGTACCTTTTGAAAGTAAGAAGAAACATGTAAACCACTTACAGGAAATATTAGGCATTATGAACAATAAAAGACATAATCCCCTATTCTACTGACAGCAAGAATTTCAAATGAACAAGGCATAATCTTGGCCTTCAAGGCTGTAATATGTAGTCACTCCCTAAATGTCCCTTCCATGAGCACTGGGCCTGAGGAAGCCTGAGGAAGGTAATGTACACACAGATGTAAACCCAAAAAAACAAGCACAACATCCTCAACTCTCTGAAGAGACTCTACTTAAACTATATCTTGCTAGCTTCAGGTGGCCACACAGGGAGAAAATGGGCTTATCAACCAAGACCCAAGGTCCCTATGTATCCACAGACAACCAAAACCCACCAGCATGTGAAGAGCTGAGGCTTTCCAACAGCATTCACCCCCCTGAACCAGCCAAAAGGAAGCTGCTCCAAGAGGGCTCAGTTTTAAGTGCCCCTGCTATATTCCCAGTGCCCTAGGCAATGGCTGACACTCAACAAGTAACCACGCCTAAAAACATCAAATATTTTGGTAAAAACATAAAATAGCTCTAAAAATACCAAAATAGATTTTTGCACATCAAATATTCCAATTAGGAAAATCCATATACATATTTATATCTGCCTATCTACACATAAAGTCATACAAATACCTATACTTTCACTGAGAGGCTGAGGCAGGAGAATCTGTTGAACCTGGGGGGAGGTGGTGCTTGCAGTGAGCCAAGACTGCACCACTGCACTCCAGCCTGAGCGACAGAGCAAAACTCTGTCTCAAAAAAATGCAGCAATTTAAGAAGAGTAATACACAAGGCCGAACACGGTGGCTCAAGCCTGTAATTCCAGCACTTTGGGAGGCCGAGGCAGGCGGATCATAAGGTCAAGAGATCGAGACCATCCTGGCCAACATGGTGAAACCCCGTCTCTACTAAAAATACAAAAATTAGCTGGGCGTGGTGGCGTGCGCCTGTAGTCCCAGCTACTCGGGAGGCTGAGGCAGAAGAATTGCTTGAACACGGGAGGCGGAGGTTGCAGTGAGCTGAGATTGTGCCACTGCACTCCAGCCTGGCACCTGGTGACAGAGTGAGACTCTGTCTCAAAAAAAAAAAAAAAAAAAAAAAAGAAGAGTAACACACAAACCTTACGGGTATTTGAAAAGGTGGAAAACTAATGCATGCTCTAACTAAAATGGCAAAAAATATTATGAATGGATAAAGAATAGACGTAAGGACCAAAATGGACTCGTGGAGATAATGGGAATGAATTTTAAATTAATTAACTAAAAATCTAACTAAATAAGCCAGGCACAGTGGCTCACGCCTGTAATCCCAGTACTTAGGAAAGCTGAGGCTGGTGGATCACAAGGTCAGGAGATCAAGACCATCCTGGATGAAACTCCATCTCTACCAAAAATACAAAAAATTAGCCGGGTGTGGTAGCACGCACCTGTAGTCCCAGCTGCCTCAGGAAGCTGAGGCAGAAAAATCGCTTGAACCCAGGAGGAAAAGGTTACAGTGAGCAGAAACTGCGTCACTGCATTCCAGCCTGGACGACAGAGCAAGACTCTTGTCTCAAAAAAAAAAAAAAAAAAAAAAAAAAAAAAATTGAAAGAAAATGAAATAGGCCAGGCACGGTGGCTCATGCCAGTAACCCGAGCACTTTGGAAGGCCGAGATGGGCGAATCATGAGGTCAGGAGATCAAGACCATCCTGGCCAACATAGTGAAACCCCATCTCCACCAAAAATACAAAAAAATGAGCCAGGCATGGTGGCATGCACCTGTAGCCCCAGCCCAGGAGGTGGAGGCTGCAGTGAACCAAGATCGCGCCACTGCACACCAGCCTGGAGACAGAGTGAGACTCCATTTAAAAAAAAAAAAAAAAAAAGAGTCCGGGCGCGGTGGCTCAAGCCTGTAATCCCAGCACTTTGGGAGGCCGAGGCAGGTGGATCACAAGGTCAAGAGATCGAGACCATCCTGGTCAACATGGTGAAACCCTGTCTCTACTAAAAATACAAAAAATCAGCTGGGCATGGTGGCGCGTGCTTGTAGTCCCAGCTACTCAGGAGGCTGAGGCAGGAGAATTGCCTGAACCCAGGAGGCGGAGGTTGCGGTGAGCCGAGATCGCGCCATTGCACTCCAGCCTGGGTAACAAGAGTGAAACTCCGTCTCAAAAAAAAAAAAAAAAAAAAAAGAAACAAAAAAAAAGAAAAAGCCTAGCATGTGTTAACAAAAAGGGAAGAAAGACTGAGGAGACTGAAGCCCCTACTGGAATTCCATGTGAGAAACAGAAGGCAGGTGAGCTTGGCCCTCATCAGTAGCAAAAATCAGACAAAAAAAACAGCAGGAAGGACAACACAGCCTTTCATCTGCAGAACAAGCCACACTTCTTCAATATGTCTTTATGTAAATTCTCTCATTGGCCAGCAGATTGGCCAGCAAGGCAGATGTTTTTAGAGTTAAGGTGTTGGCCAGATGCAGTGGCTCAGCCTATAATGCTAGCACTTTGGGAGGCTGAGGCAGGAGTATCACTTGAGCCCAGGAGTTCCAGACCAAACTGAGCAGCAAATAATAAAAAAACTAGCTGAGCCTAGTGGCACACACCTATACCTTCAGTTACTTGGGAAGCTGAGCTAGAGGCCAGGCACAGTGGCTCATGCCTGTAATCCCGGTACTTTGGGAGGCCGAGGCGGACGGATCACAACGTCAGGAGTTCCAGATCAGCCTGGCCAATATGGTGAAACTCTGTCTCTACTAAAAATACAAAAATTCATTGGGTGTGGTGGCCAGTGCCTAGTCCCAGCTACTCAGGAGGCTGAGGCAGGAGAATCGCTTGAACCCAAGAGGCAGAGGCTGCAGTGAGCCAAGACTGCGCCACTGCACTCCAGCCTGGGCAACAGAGCAAGACTCTGTCTCAAAAAAAAAAAAAAAAAAAAAAGAAAGAAAAAGAAAAGAAGGAGGGCAAAGAGCAGAGATAGAGTGAGACCTGATGAGACAGAGCTGATGAAGCACAGGAATGCCACCCCAGTAGGATGAAGACAGGCAGGCATAAGAGCTGGCTCTGGGCTATTCACAGTGAAGGCACAGTATGTGTGACAGTTGAAATCAAGGCATGCACAGATCAAAAAGCTAAGGATAAGAAGCAGGGAAGAAAGAAAAAACTTGTGGAAGCTCAAAATTAAGGAGTCAGTAGGAAGTGAGAAGATCCAAGGAAGAGGATTAGAAGGAGTGGTCAGAGCTGAACGAAGAAACACAAAATTTATTCTCCGTGAACCTCAGGAAAAATGAAAACTGAATAATAAAAACAGCACAGAAGGGCCAGGCATGATGGCTCATGCCTGTAATCCCAGTACTTTGGGAGGCGAAAAGAGACGGATCACTTGAGGTCAGGAGTTCAAGACAAGCCTGGCCAACATGGCGAAACCTTGTCTACTAAAAATATAAAAATTAGCCAAGTCTGGTGGTACATGCCTGTAGTCCCAGCTACTCAGGAGGCTGAGGCAGGAGAATCATTTGAATCGAGGAGACAAAGGTTGCAGGGAGCCAAGATCACTCCACTACGCTCCAGCCCAGGCAATAGAGACTCCATCTCAAAAAAAAACCAAAAAAAAAAAAACAAAAAAAAAACCCCACAGCAGAGAAGAACTGAAAACAGACCTACACAAAGAAAGATATCTCTAAAAGAGACAAGAATGTACAGAGGAAGAATGGAGTGACAGAAAATAGCAACCAGCTTGGTGTTTTACTCACACTTTGTTAGTGTCAAAACAGAAATGAGCTAGCAGGCTGGATGGGCAGTGAGAAATCCCAGCACAATTAAACACAGAGCATCCCAAGAGAGAGGAACTGAAACTAAAGCACTTTTTTTTTTTTCAACATCCTGGCCTTATATTCATTGTACTAAAGCACTTTTGATGAGCAGGTGGTTATCAATACCCAGCAAAAGCTCCTTCTGCACCACCTCCAACTTTCTCCTTTGCAACTTTAGAGTCAGAAAATGATTCTACTTCTCATGGAAAAACAATGGGATTTGTTGATATAAGAACAGGAACAGGTTTAGACTGGGACACAGCCCTGAAAAGAGGAAATGCTTCCACAAAAAGAGCAAAAAGGGAGACAGCTAGAACAGAGCTGTCCTGCTGAAGACCCTGTTCATCAGGACAGCAGCGGTCCTGGACATGCTAGGAAGATGAGACACCAGGGTCCTAGGTGCTATGTCAAGAAAGAAAGGGTTTCCACTCACTTATCGCTGTTGGCTATCTTGCGGAACTCCCGAACAGTCATGGCTTTCTTCTGTATGTTGTACTGAGTAAAGAGGCCAGACTGCCCCGTCACCAGCTGTTGGATGGGGGCAGGAATGACCAAATCATCAATGTCATCATAGGATGCTCGTGGCTTCCACTCTTTTGGAGGAACCACCTGAAGGGAACACAAGAAAGAAAAAGACAGATGAGATACCTGGCAAGCCAGTCAGAGTTCAGGAAGCATGTAGGTTACCATCCAACCTAACAGTCAATTTTACTAGACAGTTACTTTGATTTACCCACATTCACCCAAACACAGTAAGTCACAGGCATGCTAACCCTTATCCACTTTTGCCACCAACCAGCTGCCTAATTGCAATGACCTAAAGTAATACTTGTTCCCAGCTTCAGTATCTTATTTGGACATCAAGAAAGGAGGCTGAACAGTTGATTATCTCTCAATCTCATGGCCCAGTGCTCTCTTTAAAAAAAATCACAAACATGGCCACGTGCGGTGGCTCATGCCTGTAATCCCAGCACTTTGGGAGGCCGAGGTGGGCAGATCAAGGTCAGTAGTTCGAGACCAGCCTGACCAACATGGTGAAGCCACGTCTCTATTAAAAAAATAAATAAATAAAAATCACAAACACAATTTTACCTGATTTGGTCAACTCTATATTTGTACAGAATTTCCTTCTTTCATATGCTAGATTACAATCTACTCACAATGAAGTATAACATTCTTAAAGATCTAATCTTGAGGCAAGGCACAGTGGCTCATGCCTGTAATCCCAGCACTCTGGGAGGCTGAGCAAGTGGATCACCTGAGGTCAGAAGTTCAAGACTAGCTTGGCCAACATGGTGAAACCCCATCTCTACTAAAAATACCTAAATTACCCTGCCGTGGTGGCACTCAACAATAATCCCAGCTACTCGGGAGGCTAAGGCAGAAGAATTGCTTGAACTTGGGAGGCAGAGGTTGCAGTGAGCTGAGATCATGCCATTGCACTCCAGCCTAGGCAACAAGAGCGAAACTCTGTCTTGAAAAAAAAAAAAATCTAATCCTAAATAAAGTAAGATACATCTACTTTGTGGCATACTATATAGCTTTTTTTTTTTTTTTAATTAGATAGTGTTGTTTATCTAACAAGGGAGAAAACAACAACACATACACACACACAGTCACACAGACATACACCCACACACACACACACACACTAGCATCTGCATAAGGCAACACTGAAAGGACACATACAAGAAAATATGGAAAGAGGTGGGAGCAAGACTCTACATTAGCTGCCTTCCAGTAGCATTCTGTTTTCACTCACATAAGCATATGACCCATTCCAATAATAATAAATTAACAAGACAGTTGACATGAGAAAAAAGAATGAGTTGAATCCATAATTGACCTAGAGGGAGGAATATGTTGTTAAAAAGGAAAAAAAAAAAAAAAAAAAAGAATGAACGAACCAACACAGGAATGCATATGGCATGATGCCATTCTCTTTAAAAAAAAAAAAGAAAACAACAGATAATACTATTTTATATGTGTTTATGTTGGTATGAGCAGAAAAAAAGGTGTGGAGGGAGCTATTACCACTTAAGGAGACCGCACTGGAGAAGGTGGATGAAGATCAGCCTTTTCTTTATCTGCATTTGAAATATTTAACTTGTAATATCCGGCATTTTTTTTTTCTGGTAACTTTTAAAATCTAATAGTTATAACCAAAAAAAGCAATGTGCTATGAAAAGCTACACTGCAGGCCCTGCTGTTCCCACCTGCTGTAATTAACCCAGCAGTAGCCGTATCTCCAGGGGAGGAGGGTGTGGTCGTCTCAAGTCTCTGGAGGCAGCAGGCTCCAAGACTGGTCCTCAGCTTTGTAACCAATGTCCTTGCTTTCCCTTAACGAGTACTTATGGTATGAAATTCAAACAACATAAAATGGTATAAAAAGTTCCCTCCTGGCTTAGACTGAGGTCCCTGCCTCTCAGTTTCTTGAGGATCTCTCCAGAAATGCAGTTCTTTCAGCTTCCAGGATGGAACCTCACTGTGACAGAATATATCAAGGGCTGATTTGACTCAGGAAAAATAATGAATCCAACTCACAGGAGAAAGAAGTACAAACCAGAAACCAATTTCAAATTACAAGGACCAGAATACTCATGTTGGCTGGCCAGTGCATTCTCTCCCCTTGAAGAAAGTCCACATGGGAAGCCAAATTGCTACTAGAGTGCTGGATGAGACTGAAATGAGAGCAAGAGAAGTCAGATGGCATAAGCACTCACTGGCAGTTAAGTAACACCACAGCACCCAGCTCTACCAAGAGGGCTGAGGCTCAACAGCAGCCAGGCCTGGAGACACTGGCTCTTTACCTCCCCCTTTTTGAAGATGTCAAGTAGCTCTCCTCCTACCTAAAAGCAGAGATGCTTCTGATGTTAACAACATGAATTAACTTGCAAATAGAACCACATTCACTAAAGTCATCACCCCACCCAGCTGTTTCAGGAAAACACAGTTCCGGCCCTCATTTAGGAAAAAAAATCTTATACTGCTGCCCTAGGTAACAAAAACCATTTGAACAATCCCAGCTCCTTACCTTGGCTAGCCCTGCCCGATGAGCTCCTTGGGATTCAATGTAGGCAATGTATCTACTGAAGTTTCGGAACTCTTCCATAGTTGGATAAAAGGTCATTATCCTAGCACTGGGATTCAGAGTTTCAGAATCAGAAGCCATTTTCCCTCCTTTTTCAGGTCCCTTTAGTCAGACAGAAATCTGAAGAAACACATTAAGAGTTTAAAATGATATAAAAATTAAAATTAAGTGCTGGAAACATCAATGCTGAAAACACTAAAAGGTAATACAGAAATTCAGAAGAAGCAGTTAAGACTTCACATCTGGAATCTGCCTTATTTAATCTGCCTAGAAAAGTTAAATAAATCAGGGTGTGGAGGCTCAGGCCTGTAATCCCATCACTTTGGAATACTCAGATGGGTACCTAGCTTGAGCTCAGGAGTTTGAGACCAGCCTGGGCAACATAGTGAAACTCTGTCTCAAAAAAAATTCTTTTTAATAAAACGACAACAAAAGAAAAAGTTATTTTAAAAAACTAGAACTGCAGCTAGTTTAAAAAGAACCTGATGTATCAGAACTGCACGGCTTCAAAGCTCATTTCAACAGAGACATTGTTACTGCAACAGAACTGTTCTTGAAAGGAAAAAAAAAACAGACATCATTTCAGCTAAAAAAGGGAAACTAATGATTTGGCTGTTGCTCCTACCTAATAGTACAGCTAAAATGCCCATATCTTACCCTTATCCTTTCAGGTTACTCCCTTATTAACACCTTGCTAACCGCTTCTGAGAGTATTAAACATAATATACTACAAGCTGACTTTAAAGCCACCCATGGATGGGTGTGGTGGCCTTCGCTTATAATCCCAGCACTTTGGGAGGCGTAGGCTCCTTCCTAGGGCACAGCTTTAAAACGGCTACCTAATAAAAGTTAGGTGGCTACAAGATAACAAAGCTTAAGGGTTCAAAAGTGCTTTGATATTAGTAACATGATTTAAAAACCCTTTGATACTAGTAACATAATTTTAAAACCCTAAAGTGAAACTGTTCTCCTATGTAAATAAACTATTCTGCAGTTTCAGCACTACTTAATGAAATCAAGCTACATACAGACTAGTTCAATTGCACTGTATCTAGAACTCAAAAAGGACAAAAGTTAAGCTGATAATACAGGACAAACTTCATAACTGACTGGAGAAAGCAAAATAAATACTTTGTTTTTAGATGAGAACTTCAGCTAAGTGGGTGCATCCCCACAGCTCACTAACACAATAGACCATCTCAACTGAAAAAATACAAAGCATACTAGTTAAACTAGACCATTCTAAAAGAACACTAGTATGTCCTTTCCCTTACCCAACCTCCTCACCGAGGGTCCAGCAGTTCTCTACCCCCTTATCTGGGGCCCAAAACTATGGTGGTTGTTCAGCTCCAAGAATCTGAGAGCTGGAGAGCTCAGAAAGGAGAAAACTGCCTCCAGTCTACCAGAAATCTAGTGACAGATCTGGGAGCAAAACTTTGTAAGGTAGGGGAGAAGGCAAATCCGGTTACCGTATCTTCCTAGTCTTCCTTTCCATCAAAAATAAGGCGTGTTTCTAAACAGGCGCTTTCCATGAACCTGGCAGAAACTTTGCATGGCAGGTATACTGTTATCCCTGTTTTACATACCGGGAAATCTGCCCACAGTCCACTCCTGGTGCACTTTCCATTGCTCTATTCTGCCTACATCCTAATCTCCACCTGGAATAAGTCCTTTGCAAGGGCAGCTCCAAGAACGGAGAAAACCCAAGTTTATTTAATTTTGAGGACCCTCTTAAAAAAAAATGAATCCAAAATATCTTACTTTTGCAAATTTTATAAAGACATACAATCATGTGAATACAATGTTGGGGGCCCCTCCCCGGGCCTTCAAAGGGGCCGTAAAGGGCTTCATCAGCCTCTGGCCCTATTCATCTTTGTATGCCTAGAACAATACATGACACAGAGTAGGCACTCGGTAACTGTTAAAAAACTGATTTCCTCACGCTCACCTCAGTTGTTCCACCCTTCTTCAACCCTAACATTTCCGTCCCCCAATCTATTCCCTGGGGAAACCTTCCCTCCCCATCAGTAACAAAGCCTACCGATTCAAGAACACCGGCGCCGGAGTCAAAACTCTGAATACAGATCCGGTCTCTGCCGTTTATTAACTGTGTGACCTTGGCTGTGTGAGATGACTGGGTCTCAGTTTCTCCACCTGTAAAATGGGGATCCCAACCCCCTGCCCTGCAGGGTCGCTATGATTAGCTCAGATGATGCAAGCGAAACCCTAACACTAGGCCTGGTACTTAACCACTCAATAAAGCTAGCTCTTGCTAACAGCCCCCTCGGACTCCCGCACCCTTCCCTCGCAGCCGCTCCCGCGAGCATCACTCCAAAGGACGCGCCCCTGCTCCCCAAGATCCCCGAACCTCACCGCGCACAGGTACAACCCCTCCCGGCCCCGCCGCCTTGGCGAGTGAGGCTCGGCCGCAGGAAGAAGAAAATAAGGGCCAGAGGACCCGCCCCCCTCTCCCGACGTCCATTGGCCCTGAAGATTGGAAAGGGCCAATCCCAGAACCCATTCTGGTAGCTCCTTCTCCTATTGGCCAAGAAACATGCCGATCACTCACCGCTGGAAGAACCACCCCATCACCCCTCCCCCACAAAAACTCACGGTCACGGCTACAGTAGCAACGAACCTCAAGAATTCCAAAACCCTATAGTCCTCACCTAAAGCCCAAAGCCCCGCCAGGGCTTAGACTCAGCTCCTGCTGTCGCCACTGGCCGATCCTACTGCTTTTCCAGCAGGCGAAGGACGAAGCTCCGCCTCCTCCAAAGTCGGCATCTGCGCAGCCGCACAGCACTACACAGAGTCAACCAATCCGAGGGCGGCCGCAACCCCTACATTAACCAATGAGCACGCGCCGCAGCCTCCTCCCAGTCGCGACCACAGTGTGCTCAGCCTATCAGCGCCGACTCGGGCTGTTGCCAGGAGGAAACGCTGTACCACTCGGGACCACGGCCAGTGAGCCTCTAGCTGGATCGCGAAGTTGGCCAATCATAGGCGGGCTCCTCGGCCACCCATAAGTAATCGGAATTGAAAGAAGCTAGTACCCAGAAGTGGGCCGGTCGGGTAGGTGGGTAAGGCCGGTAAGGTTACTATAGAATGTCGCTAACAAAAGGATGGGCCAAAGTTTTCTTGGGATGAGTATTCGCTTTGCCGAACGTGGAAATGTGTCGGGGTCCTTAGGGGCAGCTTCCAAGCTCAGGGAATGCTGAAAAGATTACTTTTCCTGGTTTGTCCTGGGTATCTCGGTTTTCAAAACAAAATCCTGTGTCCTTGGAAACCCCTCCCTCGCTGGCAAGCCTAAACAGGGAGGGGAAGGTGCCCCGAGGGTCATTAGGACAGACCCTGAGGGAGGCTGTATTTAGGGTCATTAAAAAGCAGTTCCTCAGTGAGCGGGGAATTGGGGGATCATTAGGAGCAGCTCTTGGGGGCGGAGAGGGAGGCACCCTGGAAATCAGAAGAGGCACTTTTGGAGGGCGAGAGGGCTTCCTAGAAGTCATTAGGAGCGCTTCCGGAGGAGTCATCTTAAGGAGTTCCCATTTTGTCAAGGGCGATAGGGAAGGTCAAGTAGGAAAGTAAAATACCCACAACCAGAGTCATAAAAAATGCGCAAAATTACCATGGATGAATAATCAGTAGTGCCCTGGAAAGAGCTATACGGAGTCAGACCTGTGTTCAAAACCAGTAACTTCTGAGCCTGGGAGTTCACATCAATAAAATGGAAAAAATAATACCTCGCAGGATTTGGTAAAGATGAGAGTTAATGCCGGCAAAAAGAACACATTACATAGAATGCTATGGACTTATGCTACGGACCAGTCATGATTTATGCCTCAGGCTGGGTACATGCCTACTGAAAAAAAAAAAAAAGTTTTAAAAAACAGTTTCAAAAACAGAAACGACTGTTTCAAAAAGAATGGCCGTTGGCTACACAGCCACAAGTCTTTCACAACAATTACAGTGTTTTCCCCCCTTGACCCAATAAGGTAATCGACAGTATTAGATACTGTAATAGATTATACGGAGTGGCTCACAAAATTGCCGAGTCTGAAGAATCCAATTTGGAGGACACATAAAGAAGAAAACCCAAATCATGCAGTAGAATTCATCCACCACTGTCCTTGCTGCTGCCACTAAGCACAAGATATTGCAGGTTGCTTCACAGACTCCACTGTCCTAGACATGGATACAGTTGCTAGCGCTACTGTCACTATGTTCCATAAACTGGATCTTGCTATATTTCCCAATGCTGCCAGACGATTTCCAAGGCCCTCTCTCTACTGTGTATCCCTAGCTTCCAATTGGTATGTGCATGTGATAGGTGGAGCCTAAATCAAGTTCTCTTGACAGGCTCCCATTTCTCTGACCAGTTTGCCTCAGTTTCCTTTTTAAGCTCACTTTTCCCTTTGCACACATTTTTTTTTTTTTTTTTCTTTGAGATGGAGTTTTGCTCTTGTTGCCCAAGCTGGAGTGCAGTAGTGCGATCTTGGCTCACTGCAACCTCTGCCTCCCAGGTTCAAGCGATTCTC